TTTGACTTTTTGCATTACACCTGGTGACTGTTTGGTTAAACTTGTTGAATAATAATAACAATAATAATAATAATTTCAGGTGGTGATTTAACCTGTTCTCGATTTCTGTTGGCTTATTTAAATTTACAGGTGATTCTTTATAATTATTCCTCATGTGATAAGTGATATCGTGTTGGCTTAATGCCTATACATCATTTGGCTTAGTTTTTTATTGATTTATTAGATCAACAAGTGATTTTAATATATATTCTGCACAATAGAGTGCTTCACGAAGTCTCAATGCCTGTGCTCATTTTGTTTGATAACTAATGATTTATTTAATTCGTCAAGTAACTGTTCATTATGTGATATGTCTCACTGCACCAACCCCTCTAGCTTACCCACAAAATTTTTTCTGGCACGTTATTGTAGCCAATTAGATTGAAGAATCAGGTGTAATATAGAAATTTTGATATAACCTATGCCCATCCCTTGACCTTAATCCTAACCCTAAGATGATATTTATTGCATTAACTCTTTCGCTTATTCGATTGTTTTGCTTTCGCGTATTTGATTGTTTTGATTTTACGTTACACCTGATCTTTTGATCTAATTGGCTAAAAATCATGTTACAGAAAAATTTTCATGGGTTAGCTACTAAATATCACCGTACTGATCTGACATTCATGCAATGTCTAACTCGATATCTAATGATTTGTTTAAATCCGCAGGCGATTCTTATGTTTATTCATTATAAGATAAGTAGCACCACATTGACTTAATGCCCTTGCATCATTTAGTTTGATTTCTAATGATTTATTTAAATCTGCAAGTGACTCTTTGTATTTACTCATCTTGCATAAATTGCTCTAAGATTTCTGGTGCTAGTGCATCTTTAGGCTTGATTCTAGTGAACTATTTAACTTTGCAAGTGACTCAAGTAGCATTTTATATTTATTCTACATAAGTTTCACCACGATCACTCCATATTTGTGCATTATTTTTTCTTTTTTTTTTTTTTTATAGAGATCATTTACATCTGCAAATTATTCTTCGTACCTATTTATGACGTGATAAGATACTCCATGACAATTTAATGTGAACGTAATTCTGTTTTAGTTCTAATGATTTATTTAAATCTACGAGTGCTTCATTATTTATTCATCATGTGATCAGTTGTTCAATGTCGACTCAATACCCATGCTCGATTTACAAATGGTACTTTATAATTATTCATCATGCTTCGTGAGTTCTCAATGCCCATGCATTATTATTGGGTTTGATGATTTTTCATTTTACTCTTTACGCTTAAGTTTCACGACACTTAATAGGATGCAGTGTTAGGTTCAATCTCTCATGATAAGCAATTCTTCATATACATTCGACGAAAGATAAGTGGCTTCATGATCTCAAAGTAACTGCACGGTTAAGTGTAATTTCTAATGTGATCTATTCAAACCTGTCAGTAATTTATCACATCTCTTTATCCTTGATGAGTTTAACTGCGTTGATTTAATACCAGTGTATTCTTTAGTTCAATTCCTAATAACCTATTTAAATATGCAAGAGATTTGTCTCTTTCATTCCTCATGCGATAAAATTACACCATGACTGACTTTATACCAATACATTATCTGGCTCGATTTCTAATGATTATTTAATCTGTAAGTAATTGTCGCAGCTGATGCTGAAAACGGCTGAAGCTGAAATTTGGGGTCTCGATTTAAAAATATAAGCCCTGTTAAAATCCACATATACTTGTTAATTATCAATTCTAACCCTAAACACTAACTCAACTATAAAAAAAAAGCGGGGAAAAAACACCCCAAAAAAATTTAAAAATTCATATCAAAATAGATCAAAATTTCAGCATCAGCCGTTTTCAGCATCAGCTGCGACAGTAATTATTTGTATTCAGCATGTGATATGACTTAATGCTCATGCGTCATCTGATTTGATTTTAAAGTTCATTTAATCAGCACGTGATTTTTCATAATTACTCACTGTGAGAAGCATAGCGGGCTTTCATTCTGATTGGTCAATCGCTAAATGTATCATCACATATTACACTACATATATCATCTGACTTTAAACGAATTGGCAGCCATGAAAATGAATTGTCCAAGGATACGACATATAAATTCTGAAACTACACCTTTTATTCTACCTACAGTAAAAATAATCCGGAGAAAGGAGAAATAATCCAGAAGTTAGCGACGGGGTGCACTCTTTGTTTTATAGGTTAAGGTAATTCGGCAATTAGCAAGGTAATTCGTACCTTGGCTAATAAGTATTAGTATTAAGCTTTTAAAAAAAAAAACTTGAAAATAACGATTTAAACAACAATACTTACAGTTAGTTTTTTAATATTTTTTTTGAATATAGGCAACTCGACTAAGTTTTTATATATTAGATATAATTAGATATAGACTATATAGAGCATGCAAAGTATATAGAGTATGCGAGGGATATGTACGATTATATGCTATGTTCTATAGTTAATGTTTGGTTTTTTATACTATTCATACTCTCCATGTACGTGTATTACCTTAGATAGTTGACGGTTTTTTTAATTTATTTATTATTAAACTATGTATAGTTAGTAAGCGATTTGGTTAATAAAGATTATTTATATATATTTAAGAAATTTTTAGTTTAAAGATATTGTTTTTTTTTATTAAGCTTAACCAGATACACATTTGACAATGGCTGTCAGGGTCAACATATTAAAAATTGTTATTATAAATTCGAATTTACAGTTTAAATCTATCTTTTTGTTTAATAATTTCTAAAATTTTTTCATTTCGAACTCGTTTCTATTAGCCAATCAGAATTTGCAACGTCATCGAATGATCTACAAAAATTAGCCAATAAGGATGAAAGCCCGCTATGCAACTGTGAGGCAAGTTGCACCATGCTAATTTAATATCCATTTTTATGCAAAGAAAGTTTCATACTTAAACTTACTTTGTGTAACCTTTATACTATTAGAAACTTTGCTTATACTTTTTATATACTTTGTGTAATATTTTAATAGCTTATGCGAAGTATACCGCATATCTTAATTAGACTGTAAATAGGTTATAGTTTATTTTAAAGCTTATTTATTGATATATATAGCACAATATATATTTTAGTTTTGAGTCTTTTAGATTTTTAGAGTTAGTTTTTCTTTAGTTTTTCGTTGAGTTGTTTAGTACCTTGAGTTGACGGATAGTAAGTTTGGAACTTGCTAAGTCGTAAAAGAATAAAGATATTAATATTAATAGTGTCTGGGATACTATAAAGAAACATTTGTTATAACATTCTGGTGCCTTTGTGTATTAATAAAACGTTCGATTTATCTTTTGTTAATGATTACGACCCTTTACTAAATTGGCCAAACAGATACAAGACTCTCTTTTGGTCGTACATTTATGGTACCGATTGTGTAGATGATCTAAAAGAAATAGGGGGTAAAACTGTTGTGTATTAAAACTTTAATAATAGTTAGGTGGAACAAAAGCCGAGGGTCGGCTTGTGTTAAGAAAAAAATAATTGAATTAGTGAACATGACTCTAATTAGCATTGTGATAAGTCAGAAATAAAACCGAAAAATTTGAATAATTGAACAAAACCGTTCTGTGTTGAATTAAAGTTACAAAGACGATAAAGAATTGAAGAATATCTTAATAACGGACGATAAAGAAAATAATCAAATGACGTGATGAATGAACTGATGAGTGGATATATCAACAATAATAATAAAGAAGTGACAAACAAAATATCGATCGAATTAACGAGTGGGTAAACGATGAAAAACTTGGAATAAAGTGTTAGTAGATAAAGATAAAGAAAGTAAACGAACAAGCGAATTACTAAATTAAACGAATAAACAAACGTATCATGTATTGATAAGAATATGAAATGTAGAACTATAACCCTCATTTAGAAAATGCTCAGCAAGCTCTCTCACTAAACCTGGACTATCAGCTTAACGATTACTTCAGACCATAGCAAATACGTTGGCACAATCCAAAGAACCTCAAGTAGTACTTGGCAAAATAGACTTGGCAGAAATTCCAACATTTAATAGGGAAAATCAAAACCCTGTCAAATAGTTAAGGTTGACTAAACAAGTATTGGAAGCAAACAATATCCAAGAGACAAGAAAGCTTATAGTTGGAAGTGCCCATCTGTTTGGTCCTGCTGCGTTGTGGTGGGCAAGCCAAATGACTACTATATAAATCCGAAATAACATTCATGGGCGTTATTTTGAAAATCAGGTCGTTCAAACTAGCATATGCAATTTCGAATTAATGCCTATGTGCATCCCGAATTAACGCGCATCTTCTATAAAAAATAAAAAATACTCCAAATTGGATTTGATACTAAATAAACTGGACTATTTTGATTATTTACCATTGTTAGAATCATTTCAGTATGAAAAACAACTTTTGTTAGAGCAGTAAAGCAGGTTTGCTTAGTACCAAACCAGTTTCGGAGCACTTTTTATTTCTTACAATATTTATTAAAATTAAGAGTTATTTATTTAACCTATATTTTGAAATAATGCACATGGGCATACTTGAAATAACGCACAGGTCAATTAATTAACATGCAGGTGGGCATTATTTTAGATTTATACGATAAGATACAATACTGAGATGATGAAATAAAAAAGGATCAAAGCTTCGTACACCAATTTTAACAAACACTTTGCATACCGCTCTAATTAAAAAATAGAATATGGAACTGTTAAATTACCATCATTATCCTGGAGAGAAGGTAGAGCAATATGCTATGGATATGATGTCCCTGTTTGAACGTGTGGCTATTACAAGGCAGTATTCAGAAAAAATGAAAATTCAAATGTTTGTACAAGGTCTTCGTCCTGAATTAGCATCAGCAATTAGACCCTTCAAGTTTAATTCGCTTTATAAAGCTAGTGAACAAGCCTGAATGTGTAAAATGACATTTGCACGAGGATCTACCATGGCTTATCAGACCATAACAAATACTGTAACTCCCATACAAATACTATGAATAACTTAACTGTATCTTGTGCAACAAAAGACCTAATAGAGCAAATAGCTATATTATTACAAGAAATCATTTCAACAGTAAAAAGTAATGATAATGATAGCTATTGGCCAGAAGAAACTCAACAACCACCCCCAAAGTCAAGCTTTAGTTGATCTTGGAGTTAATGGTCTAGTTGGAATTGGAATGAAAATAGATAAGCATAAGGCATTTACTTATTATCAAAGGTCATCAAAACCAGGTAATATTAATGATATAGTTAAAAATAAGGCAGATAGTCCCATGGATTTTGGTGAATTATAAGGAACAATACGATCCTAGATTCTGCTATAAGAATAGGATTAAAGTTGAAAGAGACGATTATAGGATACTTGAACAGAATTCTGATTTCAATAAAAGTGACAACCCAGGATTTGTTGAAAACCAAAGTTTGGACGAATGTTTGGTTTTTGAGAATCGTACACCAAATGAAATCGATGATAAAAGGCTAGAAGAAAATGTTGATAAGATAAATTTAAACAATATTGAATATTGTTATGACAAGTGAATTGGAGTAAAAGACAATTGTAAAATATTTGAGGGAAGTATAGAATGCATCGAAAGTAGAAAATCGTTAACAAATAGTTGGAAGATGGTGACGATACATTAGAAACAAAATCAGAAAGTAGGATGAAATGAATCAAAGAGTACATAAGTAAAAATATCGAGAGTAATAATCAAAATGGTGTAGTTGGTATAGGTACAAAGAGTGAAACAATAATGGAAGTTGATAAAAGTCAAAAAAT